CAGGGTGTCAAGATAGAGTAAAAGATGGGGTTCTAGAACTTCGTGGATATAACGCTGCGCGTTCATGTTACCTCTGATGAAGATTAAAGGTGACCTGGAACCATAAGCTATAGCACCCCAAACCATAACTCCAACAGTGTGATGAACATGTCTTTTCAACAAAAAACTGTGGATTCCTCCTTTCACCACGTCGCCTTCTAACCCTGGCACGACCATCGTGCATGCCTAAACAAAATCGAGACTCGTCACTAAAGACAATACTGTTCCATTCCTGATCCCAGAGTGACCGTTGTCTGCGCCACTCAAGGCGATTACGTCGGTGTTCTCGAGTTAAAGGGAGGACCCAGTGTGGCCGGTATGAAAACAAGCCAAAACTTCTCATTCGTCGGTAAACACTTCGCATGCCAATAGGTCTTCTCGAAGCCATGCCTGACAACACCTAACCACAGTGTCTACACTTCTTTGAACTCTAACTGCAATTGCCCGAAAAGAAAGTCCAGCTTCCCGAAGTCCCACTATACGGCCCCTATCAAACTCACTAAGTTGACGAAAACGTACAGGTCTCTGTACTCTAGGCATCGTAACCGATCGTAAAGGATGTCAAGAACCAAAATCCCCCAACGTTGATTCTTTACTGCGGCTGAAATATTCATTTTTAGAGCGTTAGTGAATTAAAAAAAAGCAGTATAAAAACCGGAATGTCCAACTGATAAGGCTGAACATTTTTCACTTGTTATTTACAGTAAGATAAATACATTCACCAACTTTTATTAAAATAAAACCATTTAAACTGGGTGTTCGGATTTATATGTCACTTAGTATATTTTGAAAAAAAAAAATGTAAAACTTGGTATCTCGGAAGCTGTAAGAAATACGAAGTCGCCTAAACGGGAACAAAGTTGCGTATTTAGGTAACCAACAAAATGCCGCTTAGAAAGTTGTGAAATTCAAAGTACTTCCGGACAGAGACGTGAAAGACCGAATTTCCCCAAAACCGTTTTACTTTTTTCCTGACTATTTGTAGTGGAGTTTCGAAGTAAATTGCACATGAACATTGTCCCTTTTTCTCATGTAAAAGATGGTTCAATTAGAATTTCAGTATGACGTTTTATCTCTTGTCCTCCAGCAACAACTTTTCTTTTCACAGATCAACAAAGTTTTCAATTCTGATTCCAAAAAAGGATAATAAGTGACACATTGTATCGCCAAACCTTAATTACTTCAAAAAAGCAGAATTTCCTAGGTGGGCCTTGAAACTATCTGATACAAGATTTATCCCAAAATTTAGGGAAAATTCAACTTTTTCCGCCTCTCTCCTGAAGTGCTTTGAACTTCGAAACTTTCTAAGCAGCGATTTCTTAATTATTATCTTAATATGCAAATTTGCCCTTTAAGCTGCTCTTACACTTTCCGAGATAAAGAAGCACCCTGTATTAATACGCTCCCAACCCTGGTAATTCTATGCACCTATTAGCGCTATTTCATACATAATAGATTTCGCCGTACATTTGCCTTAAAAACTTAAAAAAATCCGATCTGCGTACTCCTGCTATCTCAGCACGGCGTCGAAGCAGTAATTATAGGACACTTATCGAGACCAGCACGCCCGTCGGTGAATCCAGAGAACAGAAGCAGAGATGCGTATCGAAAACACATCTCTATCATTCAAAGTTTTAAGGACAACTGAAGAAAGAAATCTATGATGTGTGCAATATGCAAAATCTATATCTTCCCCTACTGCCTACAACCTCCGACCCCTAATTCTTAATTCTTACAAGTTGTTTTCTCAAAAAGGTTAAGGAACCTCTGGAACGTCAAAAAACGGAGCTTAAACAATTTGTCCCTTTTGGTTTTCTCACGTAGCTCCGCCGTAAATGGAAAAATTGTTAGATAAAAACATTTTCGTTTAGTAGCGAAAATTTCATCCAACTCCGAGCAGTTTTTTAAAATTATAGACGGACCAAGATTTAGCTGACAGACAGACAGACCGACAAAAATAAATGACATGGTTTTTCGTAATGTAGATACATCGAAAAAAATATGTATTTTTTCGCAATCACATTAATTACTCGCCACGTAGGCATGGGAAGTAAAATTTAAGTTTTATGGGCATATGTACGGGAATCTATGATTTGAGATATGTCTAACATGCATGTAGAATTATCGAGGTTAGAAATGTATAAATTACCTACTGGCACCAAAAAAATTACAATACTTCCATGCTATTAGGCATGGGAAGTAAAGCGAAAGGTTTGAGAAGGTCCCCTTTGTTTTTGCACATTCTGACAATATTGTTGGCTGTAGTTGAGAAGATTTTTCGTAGTGTTGGAATTTTTCAAATATGACAATTTTTTTTTTCGGGATGCTTCAACTTTTTAAGACAATTCTCCACTTTTTTCTAACAAAATTCAAGGTGTAATTCTTTGGTCTATTCTGAGGCCCTTTGGGGAAACTGCTCAAAATATTTGGATACGTCCAGCTAGATTACAAATCTCCATATCACCGACTGTCGAATTCTTTCAAATGGAGGAAGAAAGAAGAAGCGTACAAATAGGCTTTGCAAGTAATCACTCTAAAAAGGTTTTTCGGACTAAGAAGCCTCACGTGTATTTTTAGCTAATACAGAGCAATTACTTTTTGAAAATTTATACTACCTGTATCTTTAGGCTCAAGCGGGTTTCCGAAAATAGCATAGTGAAGGTCGCTTAAACGTTTTCCCATATTTTTAGGAGGGAATTAAAAAAAACTATAAAGAATGATCCGGCTTACCTGCTTGGAAACAGACCTCACGCCACTTTCTTTCTTCTTCTTCTCATTGTTGATACTATTACTCACGTCCATAGTACGCACTCAAACTATCTCCCACGAAAACCCAGTCGGACCTGGAAGTCAATGGGACTTGCAGCAATGTTCAACTTATATACGCAAACCGCTAATGTAATAATCTGTTATCACAATTTGTTGCGAAAATGTTGAAATACATTCATGTAGAGAATTTTTTGGCGTGCGCATCTTTATTTTGCGCTGTCGTATCGCATAAAAGTTTATCAATGGATCCGGACTAAATTGGTGTGAAAATAAATTTGTTTGCTATGTTGTTTTATCTTACCAAAATTATTGTTTATACCAAGGAGCCATAGATAGTTTTTCACTACTAAGGATAATCCGTTAATGGTCTAATACAATAGAACGCACCTATTGGATTAGATTAAATAATTGGAAGAGAGATAACGCACGCTGACCTTCTTATTGTATAGGAAAATGTGGAGGAAAACTACTTCTTAAAGTAGGTTCTTTAAACTAATATTTATATTATGCATGCAGGAATTTGATTATCCAATGCATATATATTTTTTAATTTCAAATCTCGCTGTAGGGCTTTCGGCGGTTGTGCCATCTATTTGACATTCGTTGTATCAATGTTTACGGAAACCTGCACAAGTTTTGTTGCAAAGCATGTTGCCAGTTTGCTTGCTAGACACCGATAGCTCCATATTGAAACATTCAAAATGGCAGGCGTTCAATGTTGAGTGATTTTGTATATTAGTTTGCAACATAAATAATGGTAACTCAAGATTTTTTTATGACTACTACACTTAACCATGGCGAATTGACAGTACACGGACGACTGACAATCATGGCGTCTCGTCGTTTGTTATTTGGGCGGTCCGCAGGACCTTGGCTCTTGTCTGACAAAATGAACAATCATGGCGAATTACTTTTTTATTTTGACATGAAGCACACTCCAATATTTCAGAGCTGTGTGATTTTTTTCATAAAAAGGTTTCGGTAATGTGTCGTGACAAGTGACCACAAGACCAGCAGAACTAGAATAAAATACTACCTTACCATACTGCATATAAAATAAAAATCCAAATTTAATCCATCTAAGCCAATGCCTATTTGTTGCATTTATCTGTGATCTAGAACTTACATTCTTCTATAATTTAACCGTCTTTAAATACAATTACATATTATAAGACAAGAAAACGTTTCCAGCGTTACGAGCTTCGGCAACAACGCTGTTTTAGGGAAAAATTACCTTATATAGATCGTTTATAAATAGAATAAATAGAAGTGGGCCCAAGTTTGACCCTTGCGGAACGAATGAGCTTACTCTGTATGGAATTATAATCATTATAATGTACGTACTATGTTCTATCACATAAATACGATTTGCAAAAAATGTCCGTAAATTTGACCCGCGTCAAAGGACGTTACAACGTTGGAAGCATGGTTCGTTACGCTCCCACACGAGATGTCATGTGTTTGATGGTTTTAGGTTAGAACCAGTAGCGGCGAAAAACATTATTTATTTGTTTGCTGTTTGCTGTGATTGTGATGAAGTAGTGGTAAGTGGGAAGTATTTTGATTTGAATACCTACCTATCCTTAATAATGCATGTTGCGTAACTAACTGTTGAGGAAAACGAATTAAATTAATATACATACAAAGCATAGGCTGCCATAACACTTTTTTCATATTGCTAATATTTTGTACATTTTGCAGGTGAGTTATGGGGCATAACGATATGTATTTTAGTAAATTATAAATTATCAAGTGCTTACAGTTGTCTCATTATAATGTCCTGTTGCAATGCAATACTACTTGAGAAATATACTGACTTGCATTTCATAACTAACGGAAACGATTAAATAAATGATAACTAAGTACTATCAGGATTTTGATGAAACTCTAGGTTACTACTATGAAAATGACGAAAAATCTCTGCAGTTTTTGAAAATCGGTACTGTGGCGGCAGAGTTATCGTCTAAAAACGTTTGGGTCGCTGAAGACAGATCTGAAATTATTTTTCCTTCAGTTGTAAAGGTTCAAGTGCGACACTGACACCGATAATAGACGTTGGCAATAATTGTGGGGTGTCGAACGTTGTACACAATGTTGTATACAACGTTGGAAGCATCGTGTGGGACCCGCATTATGTGTACTCCTGCATTTATTTCATCACCACGAATTTTAGCTTTTAGCGTGACCCGTTCAAAAATGAGCGAATTCCCCTTCTGAGTTTTTGATACGCTCATTTTAACTCCTTATGGTAAATCCGTATACCGAGTATTTGACTACTTTTTATTGTTGCTACCAGACAGAATCGTGAGCTTAAGCATGTCTCCAAGAGTTTATTGAATGAAGAAGTTGCAGCAACTCATGCTGCTTGTAAGCTTGACAACGCAGCAAGTCATGAACTTGACTAATTTTGACACTTTTGACGTTTATACATAACCTAACTTCCATTATTTTAGAATTACAAATAAATTGTTGAGTAATAATTTAAAAAAATAGTTATGTGATAAAATTACTGAAATAAAGAAATGAACATGAGGTTATCATCTGTGATGCGCCTAATCAATAATCAAAGTGTAGATGCCTTGAGAAAATCAATAAAATTGGCTGTAGCTGAAGCGCCTATCTACCTGAATACAGTGAAAGAGGAAAAGAAGAAAATTGTTTATGACAAATTAGTAAACTTGAATAAGTGGTATACAAAGATTATAGGCTTAGATGAGGTAAAATTGTCACAAGATAAAGTTACAGCTTTGCAGGTAGGTGAGTAAATTCTTGGATTATTCATTTGTTTATGAAGACATTGACTAACTGATGCTATATTTAGGAACAACTTTTGACGACGCAAGACAAGCGCAGAGATATAGGGAAACAACTAGCTGAGGTCCGAAAGCAGTCCTTGGAATTGCAAGATGCAATACAAAGGGTGAAACGCACAGATGATAAGTTTCTGGAACTTATGAGGCAAGAAACAGAGGTAATCATGTCATGATTCATTTTTAGCCTGGGATATTAATTTTTTGGCCACCATATGATATCACTTGTTTGTTAAAATAGTAGAGTCAGCTGGCAACACAATGTAACTGGACAGCAACCTGACTTGGCACATTTATTCAATACAAGCTTTGCCACCATAAGGAAGGCAATATAAACAGTCACTTAATAATTGTTGTCAGCATTGCAGATACTAGTCAATTTTCAGTTCTTCACCAGTTGAAACATGGATCCGCAGATTATTAATTCATTATAGGTAGTACTCTCTTGAATACTTTTTAGAGCCATCTGTGGCAGTTACATCTGAAGAAAGTGATCCTAATTGAGCTGCCATAAGCAATACTTTCTTCAAAGCAATAAAACAATGCAACTCTACTCACATACTTTAAAAGTATTCTAATACAGGGCTTAGGCTGTATTATCAGTACAATGTATCAAACACCACCTTTCCATACTCCTATTACTTCCAGTTACCTCTGAATTTTGAACTGATTTTTTCTGAGGTAATTTCAAAATCTCTAAAACTAGGAAAAAATTTTATTAGCACTTGCTTTTAATAAAATTTATTTAGCTGCTATTGGTCTATACACATTTGCAATTGATTCCAATGTTACATGTGCCTGCATTTTTGTTCAATATTATCACTTGAACAACTTTTATTGAACTGTGGACATCTAACTCTCTCTCTTGCTGTATAACTATCCCTTCCTACCATAGGCATTCGTGATGTCCATTTTCCAGGCAAGCACATTTTTTTTCACAGACACCAAAGTGTTGAGAAACTCTCGTTTCACGCGATTTTTTGATTAATGAAATAACACATCTTAATTTCTTACACAGCTGTTTTCTGAAATTGTCTACCACTATTACACATACTAAATAGCTACAGAATCATGATATTTCCATTTTTGAAAACAACCGTTGTCCTGGTATTTTTTGACACTTCTTACTTTACAGTTAACAATAATGCCTTTGGCATGTCAAGCAGTGATTTCACCATATATTTTTAATACAATTAGTATCAGTTAGTATGGATTGTTGTACAGCTTTGTTTGTAACATATGCATATCATGTCACTAAAACTAAACTATGTGTTTTCCCACAAGGTGCTGAAGCTAGAAAAGTCAATCGCATCCACATTCCAAGACTATGACCAAATGGAAAGAGAACTCTTCACAGCTTTTACCAATGCGATTAGGGACTCTCACGAAAAACAGAGGGCACAACTAGAATATACAAAGTACTTTGGCCTTGTGTTGAGCATAGCCGGGTCGTTCTTAGCATTTGTCTACTCAACAGCAAAAAGCATGACTTAAAAGCATTTATAGAAGAAAAGTTAGCCACTCTAAACATAGATACTGAACCGATTGTATCAAATCTTGTACAAGCGAATGATAGAACCTTACACGAGGTTATGAGGAACAGAGAGAAGTTGAATGAAGTTGTGACCTATTTAAACCATCAGAATGGAGTTAAAATTAATGGAAGTCCGCAAGTTCAGTTGCAGCCTCAAGCTGACCAGCAGATCCACCAAATTGGAGATTTTAGAATTGATGTTGCTAAAGTTTTTATTGGCATGATTAGCACTTATTTGGTTTTTAAGATTCTGAGTACCTTCTAAGCCTTATTCAGAACAATCCCAGTTTAGAATGAAACTTATTTATCATTCAAGCATTTAAGTATATAGTGATACATAGTGCATTTAAAAGTCTACAGGTCGGAACATCAAGAACTGCGATTGAATGCTTAGTGAAAAAGTTCAGTTACGAAAATTTGGAGTCAGTGTGGAATATTATAAAAATAATTTCATTTCCGGTTATATCGGAAGTGCCATTATCAGTGGACGAACTTGCTTTTTTTGGATGGGAAGCCCTATACTTCATTCATTTATGGATTCCGCGCAAAAGTCTAAGCATGTTTAATGTATAACTTCTTATATCTAAGAATAATCGTTTTCAAATTTTTTTCGAAAAGCCTCAAGGTTCAACTTTCCGAAATGGAAACCACATTTTTATATCATCTTATTAAGAAGTGAAAATAAGAATAATGTCGTACAGGCCTGTCGACTTCAAAAATCAGTACTTTTCGAGATATTTAAAAATATGTGTGCATTATGTGATTTTTATGCTCCTTCAACCTTTCTCTGGAAAGGTAATTTCTAAATACCTCGGAAATTACTCACTTGGAAAGTAGGTAGCCTGGCATAAAATTATCCTTATTTTCAATGCTAAATGCCATGGAATAATAAAAAATTTAGATTTGGATTTTTTTTAATCTAATTTTTTACTAAAGTGTGGACCTATATTTGCTCCTATTATAAGGCAAAAAAAAACACTAAAATCTTTAATATTCAATTATTGTAATGTATAATATCTATTGGCCTGTGTACGTAAAGATTAGGATACCAAAAGACGGTTACACTTAGGAATATGATGTTATACATATATAGGGTGTTCTATTGAAAATAAACAAGTTGGTATCTATTTCGATAGATCCGAAACTGGAATCATTTTTTAAATATTTTAGCCAAATTGCTCCTATCAACTACATGGAAACCCTAAATTTTTATAATTATCTGACTTCCACTTTTCGAGTAATTGATCGCAGTAGGTCGTAGTGGGGCACTCTGTATAGTAATTTTCCATATAGCAGAAGTAGGTACGCCAAATCTAGTATTTTTCTGTTATGCTGTACCAGTTGGGCTATATTTTTTATTGTTTTATTATACCATTAACTTGTTTATTATTTCATTATACGAATACAGGATAAACCTAGTCCGACCTTCATTTTATTTAGCCATGAAATAACTATACCGTTATGTCTCTTACGCGGCAGGAGACAGTAGTATCACGAGAGAACTACACCCGACCGAAATAATAGAGTCTGTCTCTGGTGTTTCCTAACAACTCTGTCGAGAAAGTGAACAGTGTCATTGATCATATAGGAATCAGGGTATGCCAAAGTGAGAGTGCGAATGAAGGGTACACAGACTTGGTGTCGACCATGCTTCAGTGACGCTCTCGCTAACATACGTGTTTCCCTCTCTCTCATACACATCAAATACGGGACCAGAATGATTCGCTAACAGTTCCCTATATACGGGAACTAAACAATACTATTCCATCATTACTCTAAGAAAAACAGCCCGAAAAGTTCATTAAGGGGATTCACCGAGTACCACTTCCTTAAAAAGACCGGCCACCGGCCAGATTCGAATACCGCGAGTTGCGGGTACTCGGTGAAATGATTAGCGCTGGCTTATTTCTGCTTCTTTCGTGGGGATTATATAAATATACCAACATCAAAAAAATTAGGATATGCCTCCCACACGTACACACTCCAACTCCCAACATTTGCAGAGTACCTAGTGACCTTGTGTCACAAAACATAAGACTTTTGAGTAGCCTGCAACAGTACAAAAATGCGAAAAAAATAATTTATACCAAAATATCTACCGAATGAATTTTATCAAATCGCTAGAGACCATTTTTGAATTACTTGGACAGTTATACCTCGGAATAGTCATATTATCAGGTATAATGGAAAAGTTGCCAAAACGCTATAATTCGCATTTTTTCCGAATTTTCAAACGATAAGCGTGTCCCGGCATTCAGTTAAAATCAAGTTCCTGACCTTTGTCGGTTTCAATTAGGGCTAGAAGTAATATGTCATGAATAATTCATAGTAAAACAAAAATTAATAGGTTCTCATTTTATATATTACTCAAATAAATAATATGCTTTCAACATCCTTGCTAATGAGGTATCACAGTCGCATATTCTATGCTTATTGTACTATAAAACTAAAATATAACACGACATCAAGTTTAAATCTCAATATATATATATATATATATATTTGGCTGCAACCTCAACGACAAGTAAGTTGTCTGACAATTTAAATCCTTCCCGTATTAGTTGCTAGCATCATAATTGTGTTTTCAGCTCGTGAAGATGGCTCCATAGAGAATGCCGAAAGCTCGCGATTTTAAAAGAGTTTACTAAAGCCTAATTTCACAATTAACAATTAATTGTATTTTTTGCCCAACTGGTCGTTGGCAATGGCAATGACTACCGCTCACATATATATATATATATATATATATATATATATATATTATATACATATATAATATTTAGATACACATATACATAAGAGACGATAGTATAATTGCAAATATATCCCGAACGTTGATAAAATTTATTGGCAATTAACACAGAGACAATCATTTGACCTGGAAAAATACCGTAAGATTTTCTTATATTATTGTGTACATAATCAACACTCCTGAAAGTATATAAACGGACAGCTTGTTATTTTGATTTGGAGCTCCACTAAATGCATCCGAATGATTCAACATCAGTTTGATCCATGTCTCATATACGGCAACGTTAGTGTAGACTGAAGGGCTCAGTTCCATGCAGTCAGCAGATCCGAATGATACGATTCCGATTTGAACCCCATTCAGTACCAGAGGTCCTCCACTGTCACCGTTGCAAGTACCTTTGATGCTGAGGTCTGGCCCCTTGGTACAAATGTGGCTTCTCGTAATTACCTGAAACAATAAATAAGCGTGTTCTGAAACGAGTGGGAGGTATAACCAGACCTACATATCAAACGAGTATACCGTTTTATAAATCAAGTAGAATATGTATTGAGGTGAAAAGTGCAAATTGGTTGTCTGTTTATGTTCAAGCATGATCTTGCCCATGACTTAGACCACAACCTTCAAGGTTCCATTTGACCTTTAAATGATCTTAAGGGTCCTAGCAAAGGTCATATTATAGACAAGCTTGTGCGCAAAATGTTTCGCACTCAATCATCAGTTAATTGACCTTCAAATAACCTTGAAGGTGATGCTCAAGGTCGCCCTTCTCAGACCTTACAACTTCCGTTATATTCGTATTTTGTACTTTCCATACTTTTTACTCACTCTCAAATGACCTTGAAGGTTATGCCCAAGGGCATGCTTGAACGTAAAATTTTCCGCTCTTTATACAGGATGTCCCAAAAGTCATGCAGCATGCGAAACGGGGTGATGGGAGCTTAAGTTATTGCATTTTTAAGAATTTGTGAAATATCGCACTTTTGAGACTGCACTATTTTTTTCTGAAGTTGTCTTTTGTTATTTTCCAAGTGATTTACAGGATATGTTCCCACATGATGTGTCGCTTGAAAAAAGCTATGAGTCTGCAATTTTGTCTGTTATCAAAAAGATTTCAGCATATTCAACGAGGCCTGTACAAGAAATTAGTAGGCGGATAAAGTCCCCATACTATGGTCTTTTAAAATACCTATTAGATAATCAAATATCCTGAGTAGTTTCAGCGCATAGTAGACAAAATGCTGCAGGTACCCAAGTCCGGAAATTCCCATTTCCCAACAGATTAGCCGATTGCTGTAGGTTTTTTCAACGACATATCATATTCTGTAAATCTGATTGAAAAATAACAAAACAACAACTTCAGAAAAAATGTACAGTCCTAAAAGTAGCGATTTTCCACAGATTCCTAAAAATGGCGTTGAATCAAAAACTGTGCACAATCGGATAAGGACATATATGGTTTTCCTGATTGAAAATCACCGCCCTATCACCTCCTTTCATTTGCCCATGACTTTTGGGGCACCTTGAATTTCCGGTGTCAAAAATAGGGTTTTCCGTTCAAAACAACCTCCTTGGCCTTCCAATGATCTTGAAGGACATGGTCGAAGTCACGTTCAAGGTGACCGTTTTATAAAACTTTTAAAGCCTTAGAATGTTTCCATACTTTTTGGATACCCTCTACGATTCGGGTGCCAGAACCAAGTAGGTATTTTTACCCATAATCATTCAGTCATACAACCTATTTTTTGTACTTACATTATCTCCATATATGTACTGGCATGTCTGAAGTGACATCAGCGTCACATCCACTACCCTAAGCTTAGTAGTTGCTGAATTTCCTCCACCCGATGTTTGTCCCCATCCGAGGGCAATGGTATGTCCAGAATATAATTTGGTCAAGCTACTAGCTAAGCTTATTGTCTTCACGTATTGGTTCAAAGTTGCACTCCTAAGAGAATTTTAGGGTAAGGTGGGTGGGTCACGGAAGGCGATGCTCTTTGTAAGTAGAGAGTTTGGAAAAGTTTAATGGAACTTAAATCAAATAAATATTGATTAACTGTGTGAAGTGAAGAAAAGTTACATAATAAAACAAAGTGTTATTTTAATTTAATTACTACATTAATCCAGCAAATAGAGGAATAATAAACATTTGTCAGCGTGGCCTTCTAAGGTCCACCCACCTTAATCAAAGTTTGGTAAATGTTGGAAAACTGATAGGCAATTATATGCTTTTTACTCGGAAAATATTTCGATCCCTACAGGTTGATTCATAAGTACAAGGCAACGCAAACATGCATTTTTTCAATAGAACTGCCCGTATATAATAATAATAATAATAATAATATTTATTCGCCAAAATACAAAAAATGGACAAATAAATATGAAAAAACCACAGAAGGCATCGCCTGTGTGTGGTTTATATCTTAATAACTAACAATCAATCATATATGTGTATAACAATTATTGTTAAATCTAAAAGGTATTAATGTAACTGGAATTTTGTAGTTTTAGTTTTCTATATAATTATGTATAGTCATTCGCTGCACATTACTAACCCAGTCTTTCAATTTTCTTCTAAATTTTTTTCCAAATTAAGTATCTTTATTTCGTTTGGTACTACATTATAAAATTTAGCTGCTAAGAATTTAAATGATTTTTGAATAATGTTTTGTGTGGTCTTTGGATATTAGATGAGCCTATTCGAAATCGTGTGTTATGCTCGTGTTTATAGGATTTTTTCTTTTTATTACAATACTTATGGTATAAGGTGGTGGCATGTAAGAAATAAAGTTGTCTTGTATCAAGTATCCCTGTTTCTTGATATAAGTTGTTCGTTGGATATAATCTTGGCTTATGGAAAATGGCTTTCAAAACAGTTTTTTGTGCTATATTCAGTTCAGAAATATATGTCTTGCAGGCAGCACCCCAGGCTGTGATGCCGTATATTATATGGGTTTCAACTAAGGCATGGTATAGGATTCGCAGATAACTTTCTGTAAGAATGTTAGCAAGCATTTTGAGTTTATAGGCAACATTTCTAATTTTTTTGATAACATATTTAATATGGTTATCCCACCTTAGATCGATTTTGGTCTTTTGGCCATGATAATTAACGGAAATTTGTTCGAAGGTAGGTTAAAATTTTGAATAGGATGTAAATGCAATAAATTTTGTTTTTTTTTTGAAGTTAACTGTTAAAATTTTAGTATCAAACCAGTCAATGATCCTTATAAAATCCTTTTCAGCTATTTTCTTCAGTGTGCTCCAGTCATCAGCTTTATAATGTATAATACGAGGGTGTCATCTGCAAAACATATAATCTTTCCAGAACTGTTAATTCTGAATAAGTCATTTAAGTAGAGACTAAATAATAGTGGGCCTAGTACTGTTCCTTGAGGCACACCACACTTGATGTACATTTTTTTACTGTAAGTGTTAGTGATTTTGACAGTCTGTGCCCGACTTGAAAGGTAAGTTTTTAAAAGGATTTGTGACGCTCCCCTAAATCCCAATCTTTCCATAACTTCAGAAACTCGACATGGTTAACCGTATCAAAGGCATTTTTTAGATCAACAAAGATACCAATAGTAGGTATCTTTTTGTTGACATTAGAGTTAATTTCATCCATTGCAGCCAAAATTGCATCTGTAGTAGATTTTCCTTTTCTAAATCCATATTGGTCAGAACATATAATTTTGTTTTTGTCCAAAAATTGTAATATCCTTTTTTGTAGTAATTTTTCGAAAATTTTGGCTATATTCGATAGTACTGATATGGTTCTATCATTTGATGTTTCCTTTCTGTCACCGCTTTTATAAACATGAGTAATAACAGTTGTTTTAAATGCATCAGGACAAATTCCAGATTGGAAACACCAATTAATGACGTAAGAAAGTGGTTCGGCTAAGTCGTAGGCTATTATTTTTAAATGGTCAGCTTTGTTACCATCTACACCAGGACTTTTTTTGGTTAGTAGTATACTCTGAATAACCGAAGTAATACTCAAATTTAACATCTTGTAAAAAAGCTACTTGGAAATACAGCAGAAGAACTTTCGACAAAAGAGCTTTATAGTCCAAAGTTTGTCGTCTGTGGAGCCATTAATTTTTAAAATTCATGATATACCCATACCTTGGTAGTTTTATCATTGCTATGTCATGCTGTAGCGTTTGTCTACTCCAATGGCGATGAATGGCATACGATTTTGTTTCATAGAGCTGACCACTTGACTCTCGTTTTGCTAGATCGTGACGTCCAAGCGCCACTTGAATTTTAACAGGATTGCTAAAAACGAAGAAGAAATCTGATGTAAAATTCATACGTAAAATGCCTAGACCAAGAATCATCCCTCATTCAAACCTAGTAAACGACGAAATACTAATTTTTATTGTTCTATGTGATTGCTGGAGTAAATAGTTGCGACTTCCCAATTTTTGAAGGGTTACAAATCGACTAGCGACAGTAATAAGTAATGAAGCTAAGAAAAGTTCTCTGCATTCCATTCAGAGAAATTTATAATTCATTCATAATTCATTTGTTCGTGTGACAATGAAGGACATTCTTTCGAAGTTAACAGAAATTTACGGGGACACTGTTTCCTCGATTTCAACTGTTAATAAATAAAATAAAATTCTGATTGCAATTATTTAGGCGTCTCACACCCTTTTTTCATCTAGCTGTGGAAACGTAACACGCTTTTATTTGAAAATTTGAGATGGAGTTACATCATTATCGTTTAAATATTCCCACTCAGAAAAAAACATTTTAAATTTTTAGTACACTTTATTAACGGCTAAATAAAAGCTTGTTTTCAAAAATATTTATTTATATTTCATTTATTTTTAATAAATAGGATTCTATAAAACTTCTTACTCATGGGCTCCTGAAGGAATTTTTGTCAGGGGCCGATTATCGGCATGACATAACTTATTGTAAAAGTGTACTTGCTCCTAAAACTTTTTGAAGACTGAGGGTAGCACATTTTTTAAGCGGGGTCAAATTCTAAAAATCCTCAATTATACACAAAATCATGTTAAATATGCAAATGTTAATGTCCAGCCGGATTTCCGGGAAACGTCTCTGACCACCCTCTGCGTATCTTACTTTGATTTGTATTATAAAATGTCGAAAGATATAATCATAAAACTTGTTCGTCTATGGCATAGTAGTTACCTTGTGTGAAAAATTCATCAGAATCTTACTTCCGAAGTTATAGATGGGTCAAGGATTAGTGGGCAGACAGACTGACGGAAATGAGTGACGTATATATATATATAAACACGTTTTTATTATAATGCTTACAAAGCTAATTTTGACAGTTTGTAACTAATCAACAATTTATTTGTTTCCAAGGATGATGCGATATTTTAGGGAATTAAGCCGTTCCATAAAAGACGTGCTAATAACCGAAAAAATAGCCGTAAAAACCCTTATGTGTCTAGTACCAAAAAGCTGATAAAAAATTGATTCCAAACTTGCACAAATATACAGGGTGATGCATTTGAAATTTTTGAGAAAAACTACAAATTGCGTTTTTGACCACCCTGTATGAGCAAATATTAAATTTCGAATAAGTAACAAATAAGATAAAAGCTGAGGTGTGTAAGTTTTTTTGAAACAAAATTCAGAACTCCAAATTTCAAAATGGCGGACTGAAGGGTTGCCGAAGTGGGGGGTTTTTCTAGACAAAAAACCTTATATCTCAGTAGCTAATTACCAAAACCCCATAGTATGCTCTATCAATGTTCTTCTTTTGAATTGGTTTATCCAAATATGCAATAAAATTTGAGGGATTCCATTTGAAAAATCACAACTTTGATGTCGAAATTGGGACACCCTGTATAATGGCCAATATTTTAGAAATGTGTCCTCAAATGTCATGTATAACATTCAATGAATAGATTTTCCCAAAATGTATTTGTTTATGAGTAATATTCCGTCCACACATAGATGGGCCACCATATATATATATATATATATATATATATATATATATATATATATATATTTATATATAACAAAAAGTTGAAAAATAATGTGCAAAATCCGCAAAAAAGAGGAAAGTGGATTCGAGCAGAAAATAGGATAGGTAACCCGAGCGATACGTATTTCTGCTGGTTGGCTTCATCAGGCCCGAAATGAATGCACATATGAAACTACAAAAGTAGATACACATGCCCACACATCCGGATACGGGTTGTACTTCAAGCCCAAAGGATCTACAAAGAGAAAATGATCATGCGGAGAAAGGTATATAACAAAAAGTAGAAAAAAATAATGGGCAAAATCCTATTTTTTGCGGATTTTGCCCATTATTTTTCTACTTTTGTTATATACCTTTCTCCGCATGATCATTTTCTCTTTATACATATATATATATATATATATATAGGTGAAAAATTAAAGCTTTTGTTGGGTACTTCGACAATGACCACGTCTCAAGTTATATATATATCTATATAGTTGGCAAGAAATACAATTAGTTATTAAATGGGAATGGCAAACTCTAAGCTTATTAAGCCTTTTTGACGGTAATCCTTTCTGAATTAGTTGCTAGCATCATACTTGTGTTTTAGCCCCTGAAGATGTCAACATAGTTTGTCGAAAGCTCGAGATTACCCTCAAAAGGGGTTTACTAAGCTTAAAGTTTGCTAATTCCTTATTAATAATGAATTGTATATATATAAAGAGAAAATGATCATATTTTCCTATTTTTTGAAATATATATATATATATATATATATATATCATTCAAAAAACATACCATTATCGATTTTAATACTTTCTAGCCTATGGCGTAGGAAGAAAAAAAAGGTCTTTTCATCAGGGCAACGCACCTGCTTACAATTGTGTGTTAACAGTGAAAAAACGTCAGACTACTATCTGTTCTCGGATTTGAGACAATTCGGTTTTAGAAAGCACTAGATAAATATTTTGACAGCCTTCAAGACTTTCTAAAAGGAATCCCAATGTGAAGGAACGTTGGACCAAGTGTTACAGTCCAAGGAGATTATATAAGAAAATTAAATCATTTTTCAGCTGAAAATCGTAGTCTTTCATTGTCAGATTGAGAACTTCTCACCCTACCCACGTATTGCGTTTTTTTCAATTTAATTTGGAAATCATAAATCTTCTCCTGAACTAGTAATCAGTACCCGTCCAGGCAGTGTGCAGCAGTAAGGACAATCTGAGAAGTGATGAGGGATCCTCCACAGAAAAAGTTTGAATCTTTCGTGGTGATCATGAGGGCTGCCATGAAAGGATAGGAATGTGGCACTGCTTCCCTGCCTCCTATTATCCTGTAGGTGAACGGTGATACTGTAACATCTTTGGGAAAGGAGATGTTCCTATTCAGCGAATATACCTGAAAAAGAAAACGGACAGTGGGTAATTTTCAGTTGGCGTCGTGTTTTTCGCCTGCAGCCAGCGATCAATCATGATTAATGTATAAATAATATGAATTTATTTACTTCACAAATTAAAAGTCTCCCGACCATACATCTCCTGTTGACATTTTTTATCAGCAAAATTATTAAAATCATACAGAAAGATGATTCTGCCTTTTGAGCTATTTGATTTTTTTTTATTACCATGAAATACCGATTTAGTAGGCCAGTTATCTGATACCCTATCGAGGCAAATAAGCTGACTTTGTGCTGCTCATCTCCACGTCCACTCTCACTGCCCCATAAAACATATAACCTTAAGATCCTATTCTATTGCAAAATAGCCTTCCTCATCCCCCAAATATCAACCCCTACAATAATTTTTCTGAAATGATCAGGAAAATCTAAAAGTTTTATTTTCTCGATTTTGGCCTTTTTTTCCTCCACCACTGGACCGATTTCCAAAAACTGCAAGGCTTTTGCGTCCTCGGGATATCAGTACCTAACATTAATCAAAATCCAAGCGGTACTTCTCAAGTTATATTTACACTATATAATTATAACATCCAAAAAACACAATTTGTCATTTTAAAAATTTTTCGTGATTACAATACTTCCTTGCCCAGTGGCGTAGCAAGTAAAAGTGGATAAATTGTTTGCGAAAATTAGTCCTGTATGAAAATATGGTTCTCTATTTGACCATTTTTCGGAGTAGTAGATTGTTTACAGGGTGAAACAAAAGTTGACTCAGTTTATTTTACATAAAATAAAAAAAATAATTTACATTATTTTATTTGGTGCGCACTGTATGTATTGCATTGAACGGTGATATACTTGTTCCTTCTGACCTGGTTTCGAGGACAAAAAGGGCTTCTCAGTCGTTTGTCTAGAGTGTAATCTATGACAAGCTGATGAGTAGAAAAATCTATACCCAACACAAGTTCAATCTATGCACGAACATTAACACGAAGAGTTTGAAAACTTAGTCGGTGTACAAAAATAGATGGAATAAATTCTGCGTATCTCCTGGACATGACGTGTTTCCTATCCTGTTTCTATGCCCTTATTTTAATAAAAAAAAGAAAAATATAAGGTATACAGGGTGGCCCATCCATGTGTGGACGGAATATTACTCATAAACAAATACATTTTGGGAACATCTATTTATGGCATATGTTATACATGACATTTGAGGGCATATTTCTAAAATATTGGCAATTATACAGGGTGTCCCACTTTTGACCTACATACCAAAGTTGTGATTTTTTAAATGGAATGCCTCAACTTTTATTGCACATTTAGATAACCCAATTCAAAAGAAGAAGATTGATATAACATACTATGGAATTTTCGTAATTAGCTACTGAAGTGTAAGGTGTTTTGTCCAGAAAAACCGTACACTTCGCCATTTTGAAATTTGAAGTGCTGAATTTTGTATAAAAAACTTACACACCTCAGCTTTTATATTATTTATTACTTTTTTGGATTTTCATTTTTGCTCATACAGGGTGGTCAAAAACGCGAATTGTACTTCGTCTCAAAAATTTCAAATGCATCACCCTGTATATTTTTTGATACAAAATTCAGCACTCCAAATTTCAAAATGGCGGACCGAGCGGTTGCCGAAGTGGGGGGTTTTTATAGACAAAACACCTTATATCTCAGTAGCTAATTACCAAAACCCCAGAGTATGTAATATCAATTTTGTTCTTTTGAATTGGTTTATCCAAATATGCAATAAAATTTGAGGCATTCCATTTGTAAAATCACAACTTTGATATGTAGGTCGATATTGGGACACCTTGTGTATTGACCCATATTTTAGAAATGTGACCTCAAATTTCATGAATAACATCCCATAAATAGATTTTCCCAAAATGTATTTGTTTATGAGTAATATTCCGTCCACACGGGGATGGGCCACCCTGTATATGTATTGAACAAGGATTTCATAAATAACTCGTCAGTTGATAATAATAATTTTCAAAAAGAAAAGCGAATAACTCATATATACTTACAACAAAGTGAAATATAACAAAAATAAACTAACCCCGACGTTTATTATTATATTTATTACGTCACTTCTATAATACAACTGAAAGCCGTCTGTACAGCGTCTTCTTGTAAATCGCCCTCCTAATGCAATAAGTGGCGTGTTTCTTCCAGCAATACAATCAAAATGGTAGTGCTGGAAAAATTTTGTGGAGTTTGGGGAGCTGCTGTGTAGGGTCGCAAGATAAGGCTGATGAACCGATTTCCATCAAACATGGCGAAGAACTATCTCAATAAGTAAAACTTTCCATTGGAAAAAGTTACACACAAAACCGTTGATCCATTTGGGTATTGTTTTTGATTTAATCGACAAATTATAGCATTTCATATAATACTCCGTTCAGAGAGATTCGCCTACTTTGGGTTGCTCGACCCAACTTTCCCCGGTAACTTAAGCAAATGAACCGATTTCCATCAAACATCGACTAAAAAAACTCAATAAAATCGAGGTTCACCCATTGGGGAGCTATCATATGTCAGACAGACATATCCACAGATGCACACTTTAAACTTTTTTAAGTTGGGGGTTAAAAATATCGCGCTAAGTAACATCGCATATGAAATTTTGAACCTTGAAGCAGAACAAAAAATGAGATTTTTCTTTTATGAGGTCATATCACAAAATATTAAGAGTTGTTATATGAAATTGCGACTTGCCAGAAAATAATATTGAATACCACTATTTCTCGTCCTAAATGGGTGTGTGTGTGTGAATAACTTAATTTCAGTTGGTTTTTGGAAGATTCTTTCTTTAAATTCAAATAGCTGATATTTTCATAGTAAAATGTAATCGGCTATGACAATATATTTTATTTTTGTTAAAATAGCTACTTTGCTCATAACGATAAAGAAACGTTATAAACACAATTTCATAAACAAAAATCTCATGGAAAAATTTAGTTTTTCTGGATTTTCTAGATGGAGACGGCGAATATACGATTTATCTTCTAACATGAATTAATATTTCTCACTTACCTGACCCAACAAACAGGCACATGCCAAAAACAAAATCCGGATAAGTCGAGCCATGATTATCTACACCCACATACATTTATCTCTAGACTGTATGCGATTTTGCAAAGCTCAGTCGATAGAAAATCATATTTACAATCACACATATCGAATGTTTGCCATCGATTTATCATAGAATCAAGCAATTGTTTATGAAAAAATGTTTCGTCAGATACACATTTTAGTTTTCACCGACCATGTGAGAGATAACTGTTATCTTTATCTATATGTATTTATCTAGTAAATCATCATTTTATGATCTTTCTACAAGGTGAGCTAAAGGTATACGCAAGCTGATAAAACTTATTAGGGATTTTAAAACGACTGTAAATTGTAGGTGTAAGTCGGTTGTGAATAGAATATTTGTTTGCATACCTATTCCTTACCTTATTTTCATTATCCAGGACCATGTAGTAAATTAAAATGTATTACTAATAGGGTTTCCATGTATTAACCTCCGCATTCTTATGCCCCAGGGCGTTAGACTATCATTAACAACCGACATATTCAAACTAGCTAATACGGTTGTCACGGGAACTGTTTCTTTTGATCTGTTACTATGCAACGACACAACTACCGGTGATATCTACTATAGTACAATCGGTTTATTCAATTTTAATTCTTCTTAAAAGCTACTCGACGTTTTTGACTTCGGCCGTATGTTTGCTTAACTCTGGCCAATTTGTTTTATTCGGAATTGAACACTAACATAAACAATTTTCAGGTACTCTCATAAATTATGATACACCATTTGTAGTGCCATATTGAATTTTTCAATATTTTGACATTATCTGGTCCAGTTCGGCCCTTGGACATGCTTACCTAAAGCTTGTAGCTTAGCACAGGATTTAAGTTTCAGAAGTGATTGACCTTCTGTGGGTATTATTTTATTTAGCCGATTTCTGATAATAAAACAATGAATAATTTCTTTTATTTATTTATCACAACATCGCTGTTGCTAGTGATCCAATCCGTATACGATGATACTCTTGTGAAGACGGACGGTTTTCCAATTCCACATTGAGATGTTCCAAATGAAACAATGCCTACTTGTACCTATAATTAAAAAATATAAATAAATACAAGGTGGTTAATCCATGATTGAATGGTGTGTTTTTCCACTCTCTTTTAAATTAAATAGATCCAACTTTTTATTCTAATTTGTTATTGAATCTTAGGAGTTATCTAAGAAAAATATATCGAATAAATGCCCACACTCAATAGCAACAAAACATACCAATGACGTTGGGACATCTTCAAAAAGTGGCGACAAGTAAGTCGACTCTGTACCGCGCAACTCTGTAACGAGCTCATAAAGGATTCTGCGGGCTCAAGTCAGCCCCACTGAGGAAAACTTAGCTAAAAACTTGCTTAAAAAAGAACTGCCGGGTTCGTCATCTTTTATGTCGGTATTGAAACATCGAATGACATTGATATTTACCAACCGAGTGATTTGGTTATACGTGTTTCTGAAACGTCAATTTACTACAATTTTAGTCGTGAATCACTTTACACCGAAACAACGCGCCGTACTAGTCACAATGTAGACTGAAAATCGTCGTTCAGTTGTGTTAACGCAACGAGCATATCGTCGAAAATATCGTGGCAAACAGGCACCGTTTGACATATCCGTCGTTTGGTTTCGAATTTTCTTGAGTACGGGACAGTGGGCGATCGTCAACATACCGTTCATCAACGACCAAGACGTTAAAATGAGTTGGTTGAAGCGGTCAGAGACAGCGTTGCCCAGAACCCAAAAGTGTCGTATCGTCACCGCGCTCACCATTTTGGCATCAGTGGAACCACGTTGCGGCGCTTTTTGAAGGATGATTTGCATTTGTTTCCTTCTAAGGTGCAATTAACACAAAAAATATTGCCAACTGACAGTCCACGTCGCTTGGAATACGCCCAAACAGTTATTTCATGTTTACATACCGACATAAAAGATGGCGCACCCTGATGAATCAAATCAGTCAAATAGGCCCATACAATTCGTTCACAGTCTAACCATTTGGCAACGTTACTATGACTAAACTGCCACTTGCCAGCCCAGCGACCAGCGTTTCAAGTCGTATAGTCGTATGATAATTATCATTTTCATACGATAATTCTAGGTACAGTACGATGTATGATAGTACGTGTGATAATAGCTGATTGTACGTTAATTTTGAGAATTATCTTTCTTACTTCTAAATGTTGTGATGTATTTAATCAATATGGATGACTCGACCGTTTCTTACCCGTTCACATATCTCTAACCTCCGCCACCTCCCCCAACCCCTTTACAATGATTGTCTATTCTTCCATTATTATTACTCCTGACCCATGCCCCACCCATCTTGCTGAACATGAATCCAGGGACCACCACTGTACCCCTTCTAATGAATTAATTATTGCCACGCCACTGTGTACGATAACATATGACAATTTTGATGCGCTTGTATGGATTGCTGGACCGATTTTCAAAAATTACAAAGCTTATTCGCTCTTTGCATAGAAGTAGCCTTGTACGAAAATTTCGTCAACATCCGAGTGGTATATTCCAAGCTCTAGACGAGCTAAGGATTATCGGACAGACAGACACGCCGACGGACCAAATGAAATTAACATGATTTTTCGTGATGTGGGCGTTATCAATGGTGTTTCAGAACTAAGGGATCAAACTTCTAGAGGTTATTCAGTGCAACAGTAGAAAACATTTGAGTATAGGGACCCATATCCGGAAAAGTGTCACTACGGCGCTACGGCTCAAGACGCGTTAAAATTTAGAAAGACGATGAATTGCCTAAATAGGATTTCATACATTTAATTTTTGCTTTTTGTACATGATATCATCACAACAATTGTTCAAAATGTCTCTTCTTCCAACCTGAATACACCGATTTAAACGTCGCACATGATTTCGGCGGACTTAACTAAGAATTTGATACTCGTTTTGAATGATTTCAAATGCTGCTGTAATTTCTACTGAAGTTTAGTAAACCAAAGACTTTGCATGTCCCCGCAGGAAAAAATCTAGCGACGTTAAATCAGGTGACCTAGGAGTCCAAGAAACTGCTCCACCTCTGAAAATCCAAGAGTGCCCAAACCGCTGAGCCAAATACTCACGTACTTGTACAGCAAAGTGAGCCGGCGCTCCATCATGCTGAAACCACATTTGCTGTCGTACGTTCAATGGAACATTTTCATGAAGTCCTGGAAGAACTTCCTCCAAGAAACGCCGGTAAATAGGTCCGGTTAACCGTTCTGGTAGATGGTATGGCCCAATCAAATAATCATCAACAATGCCTGCCCATACGTTGACAGACCAACGTTGCTGATGTTTTTTAGGAAGAATTGCATGGGGATTTTCTTTGTCCCAAACGTGGCTATTCCTACTATTAAAATTCCGTCTCTTGTGAAAGAGGCTGCAGTCAATCCTTGAACTTTCTGGAAGTGGTAAGGATAAAGTTGTTGCTCGTGTAGCACCCGCCCAACGGAAGCGTTACTCGTATTCATATCCTCAGCAATGTGACGTGTCCCACTTGACGGTTCGTCGGCAACTCGCTGAAGGACCTCTTCTTCAAATTCGACCGTTCTTACGGTTCGAGCAACACCAGTATCATGCATGTTGGTTTTGCCGTGTAGCAATAAACTTTTTGTATCCCGGATGCTGTCGTTCGGGATAACGTTCTTGATACAACCGCGCTGCTGCTCGTGCGTTGCAGCTTGTTGCTCCGAATGCCAAATGCATGTCCGCCAATTCTTGATTGGTAAAGTTTTCTATTAGCAACAATTAATTTTTGTTAAATTCTTGCAAACATCACAAATACGATAGCCCGACTAAGGCGATAAGGAATGCAGCTACAAAAAACAATCTCTGTTATCGTTTTTAAAGGTAACAACACACAAGCGCCGGATATGGGTCCCTATACTCAAATGTTTTCTACTGTTACACTGAATAACCCCTACAAGTTTGATCTCATAGTTCTGAAACACCTTGTACGTATATATCATCCGAAAAAACAATGTTTACTATCGAATTTTTCGCGATTAAATACTTTCTTGCCAGTGATGTTGGACGTAAAAAGTAAGGTCTGAACTGAAGACACGCTGGAGGTAGGTTTTATTATGCGATGAGATATGGCCCGTAAGAACACCAGATCTAACGATCCATACGTATTTCTGTGGGTATTTCTAAAAATAAGAGTTATTCCAGTAGATCAAACAGTGTAAAGCACAAGAGAACGGAGGTGCGTGAGGCATCCAGAGGCGGGCATTTTATGTGATTATCATTTTAATATACTAAGTGACATATAAATCCGAACACCCATGGTATATTCCACAGCAGAAAGAATTGAAATTATCGAAATATCTTTCGGCAATAATCAGTGCGCTAATAGAACAGCAGAAATATACTAAGTGACATATAAATCCGAACACCCAGTTTAAATGGTTTTATTTTAATAAAATTTTGTACAAGTACTTAATGAAGCATAATAAGTAAATGATAAAAATTTCAAAATGATTGCACTGCTTTAAAGCCCTTTGACCTTTAATAATGTGTGGATGCACCCTGATGTGCTACGCATTCTCCAACGCGCCTAGGCATGCTTCTGATCAGGTGGTCAATGTCCTCCTGTGGTATCTCATTCCAGGCAACCACCAACTCCTCTCGAAGTGCTTCTAGAGTCTGAGGAGGATGTTGCAAATTGAGCAATCTCCTACCCATCATATCCCACACGTGCTCAATTGGGAATAAGTCGGGAGATCGTGGTGGCCATGGTAACAATGTGACATCATTATGTTGAAAGAAGTCTATTGTGACTCTTGGAACATGTGGTCGGGCATTATCTTGTTGGAAAGTTGGATCTGCCAGGGTGTCAAGATAGGGTAAAAGATGGGGTTCTAGAACTTCGTGGATATAACGCTGCGCGTTCATGTTACCTCTGATGAAGATTAAAGGTGACCTGGAACCATAAGCTATAGTACCCCAAACCATAACTCCAACAGTGTGATGAACATGTCTTTCAACAAAAAACTGTGGATCCTCCTTTCACCACGTCGCCTTCTAACCCTGGCACGACCATCGTGCATGCCTAAACAAAATCGAGACTCGTCACTAAAGACAATACTGTTCCATTCCTGATCCCAGAGTGACCGTTGTCTGCACCACTCAAGGCGATTACGTCGGTGTTCTCGAGTTAAAGGGAGGACCCAGTGTGGCCGGTATGAAAACAAGCCAAAACTTCTCATTCGTCGGTAAACACTTCGCATGCCAATAGGTCTTCCGTGTT